GGACGAGTTGTGTTCTACATCCGAAAATAATCCGTTTCACTCTTGAGAAGGATTACACGCGCGACAATGTTTGACTCGTTATATCTGTCAAGATGTAGTAGCAAGTATTCTTCATGTAAAGCTACTTAGACCACTTTGCCCCAATTTATTCTGTCACCTGTCAGCGTGAGAAAACAAGAGAGAATTACAATTATTCTGTGAATTGGAAAGTAGATGAAGAAAATATCATTTAAACTTCTACTTTCCGAAAAAAAAAAAAACCTGTTCAACAAAATAAATTTTTTTTTACTCTCAATGTATCAGAATCACTTTGTATTATTCACAATCGAGATTAAATAATTGTTTCATTCCTTCTGAAAAGTTTACAATAATTACTTATTATATAAAAAATTTTTTAATTAGCATATATATTTCAACATTATTATAAAAATTAAATTTGATATTATTAGAGAAAAGATATTAAACATTGAGAGACTTTTTATTATTTGAATTCAAATTTCAGTGATTGAGATTTCAATACTTCGAGATGTGTGTTACACAGCCGATACTCAACATAGCAAAAATGACTTTGTTTAGTTCACCTACTTTTCCTGGAGTATATGCTCGACGCATGCACGTTTCCGTGCGGCACGAGTTCGCACGTGTGCTTATGATCAATCGCGAGTTAATGTGGACCTGCGGTTTTGACGTTGATACGGAATGCGTGAGAGAGAGGCCACACTGAGACCAAGCAAGGACACGAGCATCGATTCTGACCCAACAACCATCCAAGCCCCGCCTAACTCACCCTTGCTCTCTCAGCCCTCTGCTATGGCTTCCAGCGACAACCCCCGCGAGCTCGCCTACCTTGCCGAATTCTCGCGTCTATTCGCGAATACTGCACGAGTTTGCAGAAACCTAGGTATTAGGGTCGTTCACGCTCCATTGCACATGCATGAGCAAGTTTGGAATATCAACGAGACTTCGAATTCACGAATTGAACTAATTTGCGAAACGTTGAGGGTGAAGTGAATCGAGGTACACGATAAAGTTAAAACGATATTTCTTATTCTGAAAAACAACATACTGCAATGCTGCAATTATAAATGCACAGTTAAAAATTTATTATTATATGAATTATTTTTTAAGTATAAATGAGGAAAGTAGATTTTCTTAAAAGAGAGTTTAAAGATGATTGCATTTATGTTACACATAATCTTCACTGTAATATAAATTAACTAACAATTAATTATTTTTTAATTTAACTTGTAAATAACGGTGCGAACAAGTAACGAATCGAAACAAATAAGCCCACAAGATGATATAAGATATTCCTTATTAAGGAAAGTTTCACGTTTGCTTTTACCTTTCAGAAACTTGAACAAGATGATGACGACGAGTATCTCAATTCCCCCTGGGCCGACGGCAGCAGTTTGAAGCGACATTTTCAAGGTCTGAATAATATCTCGTGGAGACCACATTAGGCGATAATTCATCGCCGTCCGTAAAGAAGCAAAACATTGGCCGAAGAAGCTTTCTTGACCGAGGAAGGAGCCAAGTTATCTTTCTGTCTCAGGATCGATTAAAATCCACCCTCGCGATTCACGGAGTGAACCAGAGGCAAATTCGGTACTTTCTCGGGGACACTCGAATCGTACGCGATTACACGGCGATTCAAGGGAACCTTCGACGAATCTGCCATTTCTCTATTGTAAATTTGTCCCCGTTAAGCGCCGACTATACTTGCAGATATCACGACATTTCGCGACGTACTTTTTCCTACTCGATAATAGCTCAATAATTGCAAAGTCGTGCGTATTGGCAACGCAGCTCGTGCCAGAGAGGCAGCAGTCCCTCTCAAACGCGGTATCTTCAGTGCGATGCTCGTATACGCCAGAAAAGTTCTTCGTTTCTTGCAATGTTTAACGTTGGCGGCAGTCGTTATATCGCGCGCCAAGATTAATTTACCTCGCACGATGCCTTCTTCGATAGCTTATGTAAGTACGATTCGCGATCCGAAATCAATTCGTGAATCCCGTGCCTGTATATCGCATCCTGTTAAAACGAAGAATCTGTCCTTACTGTCGTATACGTAGCATTCGGAGTGCACCGTATATTTTTAAACGATTTTCCACGATGTATCCGCAATGGTAGACGATTGTTTTGCGTAGGGAGGAAATAAACCGGTCGCTTTGAAAATGGCGCAAGTCTTATAAGTCTGCACTATTTTCGAATTATAGAAAAATGGGTATGATTAAGTTACAAATTTATATGTAACAAGCGATAAATTTTTTAACGGTGGATCATAAAGCTGCCTGTGCCAGCCGTAAATTTCTGGAACGTACGTCTTCATTCATGCGACACCAAGTTGCAGACTTTAAAGAAACTTATTTTTTACATAAGCGATAAATAGTTTCTGTCTATCGCATCTATGTCCATTAACCGATTGGGTCTCAAAGCTACTGGGTTCGTGCCATTCTCGAAACGACTGATGCAAACTTGCAACGAAACGCATACCGAGGACACGCTACCTCTGGTTCACTCAACGATACCGAACGGACGTCTATCTGGAGAACGCAGAGGAGGGAGACGCGTGGCGAGGTTCTACTCGCGACATCACGCGCATCAAATTCACAAGTTTATAGCTAAGAACTTAAAACTTAATTATAGTAAAACTAAGAGCTAAATACCGTTAAACATTACGAGTATTATCAGGTAATTCGCTTGCTGTGTGATCATGATGCGTCCACTCGCGTGTATCGTTAGACACTTTTATCAAACACACCGACGACATCACATCCGTTCCACTTTTAACTGGCGACACGCTTTTGCAAGTAAAAAAAAAAAAAAAAAACGCGCAATTTACAAGTGTCCACTCCCCGCACCCCGTTGCGGCCTCGTCCATGTACTATGATCTCCACACGCACAAATTCTAATGGTTTTCAGGTACCTAACCGACATACACGAAAAAACGTAGGTACCTTCGCGAATCTTACGACTGCTACATATGCGAATTTAAATCAATACGAATGCACGAAGCGAAGAAACGTTCGGTATATAGTGGAGAGGGTTTCTCTCGAGATAAAATCCGAGAAAGAGCCTGTTGTTTTTAGGTGTGCGCTTTCTGCATTCAAACGAGGTAAATTAGGCATTATTCCTTCAAGAAAAAAGAACAGGTGTTAAGAGCATAATTGAAAAAAGCAAATTCATTGTAACTAAATTGTTCTTCTTTTTTTCAATATATACCATATACCACTTGCTTATTTTAATGTTATATTTGACAAAATTGAGCTGCTCTGCACACTTGTGTTTTAACAGGCATCTCTTAAAAGGTGAAACATACTTGGAGCACAATGATTAAAAATATAAATTGAAATCTCAATAAATATCAGTCGTAGTAAGGTTCGTGCTACTTCTCAGGCTTAAAAAGGACGGCTTGTCTTATTATCGTCTCAATGTCGGCCGTTAACATAATTACGTATACGCTACATTATGATTTTAGCGTTAACATCGCCTGGGATATCGACCAAACGCTTGCCGCATGGAAACTCTGATCCTAGGAATAATGCCAAGTAATACTTCGAAATGCTCGTAAGCATTTATAGTTATAGCGTTTGTATCGAAAAACTTGGAATACTTTGCTGAAAATATATGAATTGTTTGATTATTTACAACCTGAAGTCTCCATTTTTGAAAATATTGGTGTTCCACGCGGCAATAAACCGGGCGAAATGCGAAAAGAGACTATGTAATTATCACTCGACATCTCGGTTACGTCTCTGGAATTCATGCTATTTCTGCAATCATATATACATCGAGCAATACCTATACACGTACATGATACACCACCGTGAAAGGCACAGTCTACACACATCGGTAATCTATGGACAAAGAAACTTAATTGAATTGTTTTTATGGATTAAGAACAAGTTGTCTGTGATCTAAAATAATTAAAAGAATATTTAATAAGTATTAACAGTTAAAAATATAATTGAAATAATATCGATAATGTTAAACGATGGAGGGAAAGAAATAACCGGGCGATCGGATTTTATTGGTACAAGTTGAGCGCAGGTTTCTCGTGGCATTGATTGAGCAATACAATAGTAAGAGAAATAAAATATTTGCATAAAAAATTAAGATCACCGTAAAGGAATTCTAGAAGAAAAAGAGGTATATATTATATAAATTACAACAAATATAGACTTTTACGATAGAGCACGCAATGTGTGAACATTTAAATCGCTATTGTTAATCTGTACTAACTTGCGATATAAAAAAAAGCAAAAAAAGGTGCGTGCTGCGTTCGGATAGTACCAATAAAAAAAAATATATAAAATATATTATATGGCACTTTTGACCGTCGCGGCTAAAAGTATATAGGATTAGATAGATTTATAGAAGCGCAAAACACCAAAAATCGTTCCTTCCACCCGCTCCGGCCGTGTATTCGATTTAAATATATCACATCTCATATGTGAAGTCAAAGCTCTGTGAATTTATAAAATGCGCACTTCAGATCGCAATTAGCATTGTCATCTTATTGAATGAAGGAAAGAAACTATATATATATATATACGTGCCCGTATTATCACCGAATAAGTTGTTCAACGAGTGTTGCGAAAGATATTCGAGATAATTTTTCTACAGTTCTAGCACACACGAGAGGAACATGCACATCATCGTCGTCTTTATATTTATGTACGTTTTAATTATTGTAAATTTTTCAATATTATTATCGAACTATGATCGATTTCGTGTGAAAGTGTATATGGCTTTTTCTGCGGTTAACAATAAAATGTTTTGTCAAAGCTTTTTTCACGATATATATATATTTTTCTAAATATCTTAAATGTCAATACCCATTCATCTTGATCCTCACACTTATCAGTTCCAATTCATATATCTGCTAAATAACAATGTTTTAAAGTCAAAGAATATCTAAAATAAAATAAATCACACTTTCAATAAAAAAAATATATTTATTCAAATATAAAAAATCAATATAAAATTTAAATAAAGTTCCAACTGCTGCACCATATTGTATAGAATGCTGTAACAAATAGAAATTGATTATTTTCGTAAATAAATATTTATGTAAAAATTAACACATTACAGAAATCAGTATATGAACGAGCAATTTCTCATCTTTCATTCAGGACTCTAGCCAATTATTCATCAATTTATTTTTAGCATAAAACTATAAAAAATTGTGTCCTATATTTACTTATTCTTCTTGCGAGTATAATGTTAATAAAAATTCTTTTTAATGAAAAATCTTAATTACATTAACAATAAAAAAAAAACAAATAACTGGCGATTTGTTGTTGTCTAATATTTTGATTTTTTTACAAGAATATAAAGTTTAATATAGATTAATTAATAAAGTTTGATATATAAACAATTTACCTTTCTATTAAATAAAGCTAACGTAGCTCCAGTTTAGTTGTTACCGAAAAGTACTCTTGAGAGGGAATGCGTCTTTTAATTCTCTACACAAAATATTTTTATTAAAAACAAGTACAATTAATTAATTATATAAGCAAAATATAATTCAAGACTTGCTTCAGTCAAAAATAAGTACACGTTGGAATTAGTTTTTTGACATCAGGCTTCAGCCCCGAAAGAATATCATCATTTCAGTCTTGACAATACTTATTACATCATAGCATAAAAATATTATTCGTTCTAATATACTAACGTATATTATTTAAATGCATTTAATTAAAAAATTTCAAATAATATTCTCACCTTTAAAATATAATTGATGTTCTATTTATCAGATCAATTTGCATTATTTCTTCATTATAGACTTTCCTTTAACACAAAAATTCGAAAGTATTCTTAAGAATGCGCCTTTTAATTCTCTATTCATATTTTTATTAAAAATAAATATAAACAATTAATCATCTGGACAAGATATAATTCAAGACTTGCTTCAGTCAAAAATAAGTACACGTTGGAATTAGTTTTTTGACATCAGGCTTCAGCCCCGAAAGACTATCATCATTGCAATCTTGACAATACTTATTACATCATAGCATAAAAATATTATTCTTTCTAATATACTAACGTAAATTCTTTAAACGCATTTAATTAAAAAATTTCAAATAACATTCTCACCTTTAAAATATAATAATTGATGTTCTATTTATCAGATCAATTTGCGTTATTTCTTCATTACGGACTTTCCTTTAACACAAAAATTCGAAAGTATTCTTAAGAATGCGCCTTTTAATTCTCTATTTATATTTTTATTAAAAATAAATATAAACAATTAATTATCTGGACAAGATATAATTCAAGACTTGCTTCAGTCAAAAATAAGTACACGTTGGAATTAGTTTTTTGACATCAGGCTTCAGCCCCGAAAGAATATCATCATTGCAGTCTTGATAATACTTGTTACATCAACAAATTTATAATATTGACAAGATTATCACAAATTCCTTACATCCTACAAATAAGAAACCTTTCTCTGATTTTCAAACAAAATTTCATGATTTTCCCTAACTTCAATAACATTTTTTTATTTTCATCCTAATTTGGAAACTGTTAAATATATTGTTAAGTGATCAATTTAACATGGCAATATAAATTACTATTAATGTTGCTAACACTGTTTACATTTACACTTGTCAAGTTGGTAATATTCCAAAACTGTGTAGGTGTGATGTACACATATAGTTAAACTTTAAAATCAACTATTTTAATTTCCCAGAAAGTTTCGTAATATTCCCTAACTTTTCTAATAATTACCCGATTTCTCATTTTGTGGAAACCCTGATTAAACATAATTCTTTATTCTTTTATCTAAATAAGTATTTTTTAAACGCATTAAAAAATCATATTTTCATTTTTATACAATATCAGATAAAAGATTACGCATTGAGGCTTTCAGGTATTTTCTTTAATCATACTAGAAGGTTTGCGGATTGTCTTTCTTCATTATTGATGCCAACGTTTTGTGAATCATGCCGTTCACTTCATCAGGGTACTGGTATCAGCGCACCTCTCGCCCTGATGAAGTGAACGGCATGATTCACGAAACGTTGGCATCAATAATGAAGAAAGACACGGCGACAACCCGCAAACCTTCTAGTAAAACAGATAAAAATCTTTGTACATTTTGAGCGTGTTTTAAATGTTCATACAAAGAAACAAAGGTTATATTAAATATTAAGATAATTTTGCATTTTCTAAAGAAAATTCATACAGTATTCTCACCTTTAAAATATGATTCATGTGTTCTATATATCAGACCAATTTGTGATAATTTTTTGTTATGGACTTTCCTTTAACACAGAAATAAAAATTCAAAGTTAATAATATATGTACATTAATATATCATGTAAATTAAATCTTGATTACTTATTCAGTACACGTTAGGATAATTAAAATCATTAGAATCATTTATAAAACTGTCATCACAATCAAATCGGTAAGAATTAACAAGGATATAATTGTAAACAGTAAACGCAAAAAGAGAAATTACAGATTATACAAACCTTAGGTACATAACGTTCTTATAATGTGATGTCATCAATGGCGTCAAGCCTGAGCATGGTATCAAGATATCAAACTCTAAAAATATGCAAAAATTATGAAACACAAAAAATACTTATAAATATTATTAAAATTGTACGGATGTGATTAGTTTTCAATAATTTTCTAATTATTTAAAAAAAATGACATTGTTTTATAACAAACTAAAGAATTGCAAAAAATAACCACAAACTATTTCAAATTACATCGATTAGACTGTCAAAACGGTTTTATATATATTTAGACTCAAACTGATGTACAAACATTAATAAAGCTAAAAATAAAAATTAGTTAATCTACGTGTATGATTGAAAAATATACCTATATTTTGCGAGCATTTTCTTGGTGATCAACCTGGTGGTACTGCACTTATCTGAAAACATATAACATGTTGTAAAAATACACATGTTTATTAAAAATATTATCTTTAAACAATTTCAGTTTAAAAAAAATAAACATCCATGTATATAATTAATTTCAATCTATAAAATATTAAGTATGCATTGTTTAGTAAATACAGTTGTTAAATTATATTATGTTTTATACCAAGAATTTGATTCAAGTATATTAATTTAATTTTATATGATACAATTATAAATATATTATGTGTATAAGTTTTTTTACTACATAAATATTTTAAAAAGTTATAAACACGCACGCACGCGCGCGCGCGCGCGCACACATACACACACATGTATATGTATATGATTTCCAAAGTCTCATATTGATCTAGAAAATAAGAAACCTAATAAAACTATTAGATGATAAAAATATCCTAAAAAATATATATATAATATATTCAAATATAATAAATTTACAATACATAAACATTTATAAATTTATAAATATATTATGCTATTATCATAAATTGTATTGTCAATTAGAAAAAATTTAAAAAATTCATTATATTTGAAATAAATCATATATTTAACGAATCAAATTTCTAATTTGTGCTCCAAGATAATTATGAAATATATTAACTGAAGCAATTTCTAATATCGTCATATAACACAGTAATAATTATAAAAATACGTAAAAATCTTAGAAAGATTTTTAAGATGTAACAGGAATTTTGTATTTTTGACAATTTTATTTTTAATAATATGAAAGAAAACAAATAAATTCTAAATAACTTTGTCTACGTTTGCATCATATATATTTTTACTCAAACAGTATTAGATTTACTCAATGTGTACAAAAAAAATTATTATTAATATAAATGTATATAAAAAAATTATTAAACTTAATACGGACTATGTCTCCTTTAACAAATCTATAATCTGTTGAAATCTATGATTCACGACTTCATCGAAGTGTGTTAGAGAAAATATTCGATAGTATAAAATTAAAAAACAAGTTCTTTACGCATTTTTTCAGCTAACGTATTATATAAATAAATAAATATTAAATAACTCTCAAAATTGTCAACAATGTAATAAATAACTTTAATGAAGTCATGGATTAAACATAATAGATTTATTATTAGTAACATAGTCCGTATTAGCTTTTAAAGTTTTGTATACATTGAATAAATCTAGTATTGTTTGAGAAAAAATATCATTGCGCACTGATTATCGCGCTATAACTCTCATTAGCTCTTTATTGTATTGTTGACAATTTTAAGAGTTACTTAATATTGATTAATTTAAAAAATATAATTTTGAAAAACTTATTAAAAACATGTACATTTTTTTAAATATCAGAACTTTCTTAGGTTTTTACGCACATTCTATCATCACATAATATTCTTAAAGTTGTGTCGTGTATTTCAAGAGAGAAAAAAAATTAATGATATATTATATTATATCCTTATGCTGAAAAACATTTCCTTCCTATTATTCACTTATATAGTCAATACCTATTTATTATTTCACGAAAATATTTTCGATCGTCGCTATATACTAAAATTATTTATTCATATAAAAGATTCATCGCAAGTATTCCTTGCCACTCAAAGTGGTACAAAGTAAGAATTTGTTATACTTGTTACTTAAATGATTATCTGTCATCACAGCCTAGATTTCAATAGATAGACCAAGACAACCTTTCCATAAAATATCCAGATATTGTGGTTGTCATAGGTAAAAAGAAGTATTGTCTAGGCTGATAAGCGTTCAATTCATCATATAATTATTTACAAGACGTTTAATGTTTTTCTTAAGTGGGAGAATGAATTATTACGAATGTAAAGTCACCTATTTAAATATTAGTTGTACATTGTAATACATCAATATTAATGTCAGCAAACGTTACAAAGTAATCTTGTTTTTTCTCCCTCCAGAGTAAAATATTCTGAAGAGAACAATCCTAACAAAAACAATAATTTGAAAAATAATGGAATTTTTATTGAATCTATAAATGATCACTTTATAATTTTTGCTTAATATTTAACGTCCCACCCGAAGATTAAAGTAAGATTACGCATAATACTTTTACAAATTCTACTCACCTTAGATTAACAGGTAGTTCATTGATTAGCAGTTTCGAGTAAGTAAGCCTATCTTGTGATTGTAGTCTCCTCTCCGTTAAAAGACTCTTGATTAATTATATTCAGTTTCTAAATATTATTAAGCACTGGAATGTGGAAGATTCTTGAAGATGAAAAAAAAGGCTTTTTTTTCTTATTACCCATAATGATTCTTAAGGAATTGAATAGAAAAAAAATTGCCAAAATTTCAATTATTTTAAAAATAAAGGATCTTTGAATCACGGACACAATATTCATAAGCCTTTATAACATGAAAAATGTAAGTCTATATCTTTTTTTTTATATCTATTGCATAAAAAAAAGAAACTTCAAATATGATTATAATTGAATAATTACATAATAACTAAATTCAAATTCTCACACGTAAAAAAAATCTCTGTTTTAGATATAATACCTATTAGGAAATTTTTATATTAAAAAATTTCAATTAGTATATAAAGTATATTACCGATATTTTCTACAGAACACTTTAATTTGTATTTGCTTTAATAAAGCATTTGTTTGTCTTGTTTATTAATATAACTATTAATAAGCTGTAATTTTTGCCAATTGTATATAAAGTACAATAATAAATAATCTCACCAAATAATATCACAAATTTTTTTAAACAGGAATAAATCATGTAACATCCGAAGATGTTTCAAGAAAATTTTTTGAAAATATCAATATATCAAACCTTTCCTATGTGTAGAAGATATAGAAAATCGTTGAACTGAAAGCAAAATCAAGATCATCAAATATTTTGTGTAATATTTCAAGTAATAATAGCCGTAATCTGTAAATGCACAGGTCATAAATATATAATTTATACACCAACAGTTGCAGACTCACGATATTTTACTTGTATTAGATTTATATTCTTAGAGAATAAATCAACAAATATTTTATTTTACACAGAAGATCAGTTATGTATGTAATCCATAGAAGACAAAGTGATATTGATTAACATTAGAAACTAAGTTGGTATATTATATCAATTGGTATTGAATACCTTTATTTTTTTACGCTGCTATAAATTAAGATTCTTTACAAAGTATTGAATATTATAGTTGTAAGTAGTGCTGCGTATGTATTATATATTGTATATATGATGTACAATAACTTATATACTAAACTAATTACCGATGAATATTCAAAATTGATTATGTCATAATTCTGTGATCAACTATATTCGTCATACCTAGTGTAAACATAATACTAATTTTCGAAATAATCCAAGAGTTAGAAATCTTGATTTAATTAAAAATAAAATTTCAGTCGTGACATTTTTATGTTGTCGCTTATACATTAATATTATTTTTATAATTCAGATAAAGAGTATAAGATAATAAGTGAAAAAAATGCAGTCCTTTTAGTTAAAAAAAAATTAAATTATAAACTTTTAATGATACATAATGGATAGTAAAATTCTTATTGAAAGAATGATTGAATAATACAAATTTAGAATAAATGATTTAATAAAGCAATAATATTCAGGCAAAATATATTACGAAACAAAAAAGTATGCGGTTATGTCTCTTTATGTTATTTCTCAAGATCTTTAATAAATTGTAACTTCTAATTTTACTTCGAAGTAAATATATGTATCTTGTATTTATGCAAATGCAATATGAAAATCTAGTAGTAATAGTAAAATCAGCAGGTGAGGTCAGCCGCTAAACGTGACCTAGATCTCTCTAAAGTTCCTTTATCACTTCCTCTATGAAAATCTAAAAATTAATGATAATTTTATCTAATATTTATGGACATATAGACTATACTATTCGTCCAAATTTATGCATAATCATAGATATAAAATATTAACCCTTAAAAATCTCTCTGGGTGTGGTATACCTAATTTTCTTTTTCCAATGTTTTTTTCGTTGTTTATATTTTTTTTATTAATAAAGATACATACATTTACTTGATACCATTATGTTCCTTAAAATCTGATGTTTAAACTGAAAAAAATGTTTAATAAGTAAAGTTACAAGCTATCGAATTAGATTGGGTACGCCATATTTAAATGTGTCGTTTAAGGGTTAATTATAAAGCAAAGCTCAAATTTATATATTTTGAAACAATGATCTCATACCGAAATTGAAACTGCGGAATAAATTGTGTCCAATAAAATATCGGGTGTGCTAAATATTCCTTTTCAGTTAATGATATTTTGCATGAATCTAAATATAGAAACAGCAATTTAAAGCAGATTTCTAAAACGCACACTATACTAAAGAAGTTCATTTCTCTAATAACATCAATATTATTATTGATATTCAATCGGAATACATGCTCGAGAAGAAAAGTCATCTGGAGGACACAGAATCCGTCAAAGTATCAAAACATTAATTATGTTTAAGCTTTAAGCCCAAACTCTCCCGCATCGTCTACTCCTAAGTCAAATCTCAAATTAACATGTTAATGCCATCGATGTCCAACATCATACATGTAAATATTCTCTCAACACTACTCCTCCTTCCCCCATTTCCTCGTTAGCAACTATAATCATAGTAGAAGAATGCAGATGAAACAACGCGCACAAAGGCAATTCAGAGCATTTAGCCAGAAAATCAAAGTCTGTCCTAGATTCAATTCTGTCCAATCTAAATTTGCCTTATTGTTTTTTGTATTCTTAGGACAAATTTTGATTGGCCATAACTAAATCGGCTACTGTATATCCCTCAAGTTATTTCATATATCTTCTTCCATCATGGCTTATAAGGGTAAATAATATAAAAGTGAGGAAAGAACGAAGGACATAGCATAATTATGTCAAATCAACAAAGTAAGACTTAGTATTGTGTATATTTAATATCGTCGACGTTTGGTGGGATAATCATCTGGGCGATTTCGGTCATTTCCTTGCCAACGTCCACTACCACCGCTACCTCCACGACCACCACCCATATTGCCCATGTCAACCCTCATATCCATTAAATCCATTATTTGCCCACGATCATCATTATAACCCCCTCGACTACCGCGATCCATATTGTATGCATCCATAAATGACTTCGGGTCCTATAGAAACGCATAGAGAATGCGAATCGTATAGAGAAGCCGAGTTTGTTGTTAATCATTGATGAGAATGTCGTTCACATCAGAGGAATGCACGATACGCGTGTGCACGTAAATTGCGGATGTACCATAAGTACATTCCGTACGATTCAGGGCGACCATCCATGTTTGACAGCAGCACAGGTCATCGTCAATTTTCGTCAAATCACATAGAAAAGAAAGGGGAAAACACAATGTTAGATTGCTGTTTGTGTATCAATAATAGTGCAAACTGCACATTAAACACTGCTCTTATTAATATCTCTTTTAGAGCGGATATGTTCTGTGACAATAATCAGACTAAGAGAATGCCCAACGTAGACAGACAATATTTTGGTTATATATGAGTATGCAGCAAATATGGCTGTGGACCAAAATTTATTAGTACTGAAAATCTATAACGTAAACTATAGATTTTCAGTGCTAGTAAATTTGGAACATAGCCCAGATCAATGTGGTTGTTTACGCGAAACTTTATAATTGTATCACATACACACAATTACTATACTTTCCTTAATCATTCTTCAACTCAAAAATAAAAGTTTGAAAATTGCATGTGAAACGTAACATTAAATATAATTGCGGAGTATATTTTATATACTTATGAAATTGAATTCCAAATTAGAGTTGAAGTACAATTAAGATAAATTCATATAATGATGTTGCTATTTTGACATATAATGAAACCAATATGTTATATACACACATACATATAATATGTAAATATATAATATATTAGATATATTACAATATAAAAGTAAAAATAAAAAAAAGATTAATTTTATTTTGTATATCACACAATGAATAAACAGGAATTGTCGATGTTTCAATTTGCATATAGATATAAATATAAGTACAAATTTGTATTCCTATATATTCTATCTAATGTGTTAACTTAAATAGAATTTTTTCTCAATTCCCCAACCCCAATAGAGTGTGTACATAATTATTAGTCATATAAGTATATATTCGGTAGAAATGACAAGTGGGAATTTACTTTATGAATAACAAGAATGATAAGATCCTAGTATAGATACACATTGTCATAAAATAGATACTTCTGAATAAAAACGGTTAAATCATTTTATCATGTTAAATTAGTTTTGCACATTAGAAAGAAAACGTCGATGATAATTACCGTTGTTTATAATAAGTAAAGTATTGACATTAAGCTTCCACACAATTTTAAAACATTGAACACAAATGTAAGCAGCAAAGAGGCGTGATCAAGGTCTCAAAGCAAACTCTGTTGTGCTCGTAATGTTTCAAAGACGTGTCATATTATGAATTAGTACCTACTATAATATATATTCCTACAATAAGCATATAATAAATATTCCTATAATGAGCATATATCAACATATGCATCAGCAATCCACAAACAACGTGCTTTCAAGTATCAAGAGTATCAAGTATCAATCATATAATCAATTAATCGTGTTCAAGTTTAGTTTCGATTGAATAAAAATAAGATTCAAATTTAATTTCCTGGTTGGAGATTCTGCAAAGAGCATATATACATTTCTTTGGAAATATTATTAGGAAATATTCCTTGGAAATATTTCTTTGGAAATATTCTTACAATAGTTTAATACTTCAATGTACAGTTATTTAGAAGAAAAGTCTAGTTGGGCACTTCTTGGTCAATAAAATTACTATGGAACAATATCATTTCGTAAAACTTTTGTTAGATTCTTTTTCATATTTTATTACAAAAAGCACAAAAAACACATAACAAATTTATATCAAATTGTACGTGTATCAATGTTCCATAATAAATGAAATTGTTCTTAATGCTACAATAGAATAATAGTCAGAGTCTCCTGTCTGCAATCATGTGGAGAGGCCAATATGGCAATTACATTTGTAGATGTAAATAATCATTTTCGGAAGAATAAAAAGTTTAGATTTGTAATATATATTTAACAATAATTGTTATATATTACAATCTAAGAGCCAAGTGTGGTATAATCGTAAAAGTCAATTTTCAAAAAATCAAGAATACTATATTATTATAACAAATTAATATCTATTTATAATTTTTATTATATAGTTATAATTTTTATTATGTGTGTATGCTATGTATATATATAATATATATATATATCATACTTTTAAATCAATAAATGTGTATACATTTATTATATGTAAATGTACACATTGACTAGTAATAAGTGTATATATTTACTACAGTTAATACTTTGACTGTAACATATATATATATATATATGTAATTTAATCGATATATAGCAAAACTTATTAAGTAAAATTAATTTGTTTATTGAAATCGATTCAGGATGATTATTATGGTCGATATCTCTAGCTGCAATGTTCGCAGCAGAAAGTAGTAAAACGCTTCTTATGAAAATCACAATTCATTAATTTGCTTCAACGCTGCGATAAAATTTCAATATTACGCTTTTCGCATGCTGGTATATTTATATACGTCATATTTATATACGTATAATATAGAAGTTGGAGGATTTGAGCAAAACTTTCAGTATAAAATTAATGGCTGCGATCAAAGAAAACTGACCAGTCAGCGCTCAGTGATTTTTTAATAATTGATTCCTACGCTTAGATCCAACGAAGAACTAAAGGAAAGAATAAATAATATTAAAACAAATCATTGAGCACTCATTAATTAGTTTTTTTTTGTTAAACGTAGTTATTGGCATCGATAATTCTGATGGAAGATTTCGCTTCATAAAGAGAACAGTAGATCATATAAATTCAAATATTCGTGCATCATTAGATGCAAAACGAAAGCATATCTCATCAGTAGAAATATGCTTATGAGTTAAATAGCAGAAATAGCTATATAATCGTTTACAGATCTTTGCAAACGGTAATGCTAGTTAATGGAGATCATTTAAAATTTGTAACTAAAATCAGTGTTAATATTGACACTCCATGCAGTATTGAAGTGCCATTTATTGTCTAAATTTTAAATATTATGCACATTATTGATTCCTCCACATGTTATAAATATTCGAAATAAATTTTTATTAATATATACATATTTTCATAACTAAATTGAATTAAAAATAAGATACTACAATTATCCTGGTTTTGCAGACATTAGAACTCTGCTGATATTGAAGAGCATGCTCAACTGGGGATAATCAGAGTTCATCAACTCTCCTAATTTAATTTTATAATGTTGTACACCATAAGAAAGAATTGCATTTCGTCATGCATGGCACAGTATTCCGCTCATTGTAATAAGATTTGCGCATATGAGGATATATTTCAAAATTGAACCGCCCAAGAAGAAAGAAGAAATATTCCATACACATAGAAAAGAAAGTCAAATGGTTTGAGAAAAAACTTAATAATGCTGTAACACAAGTTATAGAAAAAAATAGTAAATGAAAGAGATACATTACCACTGGCATGCCGCTTCCACCTGTAAAAAAATTAAAATATATCATTAAAGTACATAACGTAAATTATAATACTGAAAAAAAAATGATAAAAATTGTTCTGCAGTTCGACGCTCAACAAGTTTAGAGCTTGCACATAGAGATATAATTATATTTAATATAATTTAAAAGTTTTAGTGCATGTAGTTATAATATGTATAATACGGATTGCAACTATATTGTGCTCTTTGTAATTCTATAAATTTTTTTCTTTCTAAAAAAAAAAAATTTATTACTTACCATCAGGTTGTCCATATCCATCACGATCATTGCTACTGACAGAATCAAAAAATACAAGTATAAGTAAGCTATTGAATACACGATAATTAAGATATTGAATCCCTCTCTCTTTCAAGAAAAATATATACAGTAAACGTCTTAAAGTTAAACAATTTTATCACTCAACGGACCTGCATAAACAAATTGTTTTCCTGTTGACGTCTGTGCAATTCCTCCTCCTGTCTTCTGATACGTATCGCCATTTCTTCTTGTTGACGCCGTCTTAATTCCTCTTCACGAGTCCTCTGCTCTTCTGCTTGTCGCTCTTTCATTTCCCATTCTCTCTTCTGCCTTTCGCGATCCGCCTCGCGCATGCGCAGTTCTGTAACATAAATATAATTTATATAAAGGAAAGATAGACAGTACTTTATATATTAATATTAGAATACACACGTTCTCTCAAAAGCTCCGTCTCATGTTCATATCGAGCGAATTCCATTTGGGCTTCCAATTTTTCTTCCTCCATCGCCATTTCTCGTTTGAGTGCTTCTTCCTTCTGCTTGTACAATTCATGCAATTGCTTCCATCTCGTACCGTATTCATGTTCAAAACTACCTAATTGTGCAAAACGTGGTCCAATTTCACGCGCTTTGAAGAACTCTGGATTTTTGCGCGGTAAGCTCTTGTCAGGATAGCCATCTACATCATCTTGTTGTTCAAATGGCTCGACAACTACTGGTCGAAGGGAACTGAAATGGAAACTTTTTACAACTTGTATATACTTTCAACTCTTAAATAAACATCTTTTCATAATAAACCTGTGTTTCATGTGTCAGCACACAGCGATTAACAGAACTAATCAACCATGTTTCCTAGATGAAACTATATTTTTTTCTACCCCTACAATTTTTATCTGGCACTTGTAGATTAGAACACATCAAACAAGCGTGGCATCGGGGATTTGTTAAAAAATTTGTTGAAAATTGTGATAACTTACGCAGTAACGAAATAACAACCCTCTGTGCACTTTCTCAGAGCTAACTGAGCAGACGGTTTCCGGCAAAACTCAACAATTCCTTCGCCAGTACTTTTACCCCTGTCATCAACTTTAACTATCGCACGCTCGATTTCGCCAAAGACACTGAAAGCTCTTTCAAGGAGTTCATTGGATGTCCAAGACGTTAAATTCTTTATCTTGATCGTCGATGAATGAGGAGCAAAGCGTACCTTCAGTGCACGACCTTTGCGCATTGAACCATCTAGTTCGCGCTTAGCTGTATCAGCATTTGCTTTATAATCCTGGAATAGAAGAAAATAAGAACAATCATTCTCTAATTTAAAGTTTCAAGTTAGGAAATAGCTTAGCAATAGCAATATGTAATCATTTCAAAATAAAACAGCCAGAAATTTTTATCATTTCATATCAAACGGTAATTGATATAATCATGTTATAATGTCATAAAAAAAGTTGATGTAACAACATTATTTGATTATTAAATAACTATATATGATTCGTAGATATAATTACCAATCTGAGAAAAGCAAAACTTTTTTCTTTATTCACAAACAGCTCGGATATTTCTCCATATTTTTGGAACAAGGTTTGTATTTCTTCCTCGGTTACATCGTTTGTCAAATTTCCAATGTACAAACGATTTCGACCACTAAACTTCTTTTCCGTAATGTCTTGTGGTGGAAGTTCATGAGTGGGTCCACTGATAGCCATAACGCGTTCCATCAATCGATCCTACAGATAATGTAAAGTTCACTTGTACCATGAGCATAGGTAAAAAAGACACAAGAATATAAAAATGTAAACTTACATCTTGGGATCTACTGGCCATGTTTCTGTCACCACCACCGCGACCTCCTCTTCCACTTCCTCGCATCATACCGCCACGACCCATACCCATAATGCCACCCATCCCACCACCCATTCCACCACCCATTCCACCACCCATTCCACCACCCATTCCGCCACCCATACCACCACCCATTCCGCCACCCATACCGCCACCCATACCGCCACCCATACCGCCACCCATATTGCCACCCATGCCTTCAGATATAGGATTATCCATGCCTCCATCCATGGAATCGTTTATTTTCATCTGTAAAAAAATTATAATTGTTTCATATACAAGCCATTAGATACACATACTTTTTAAAATAAAAAAATATCATAGATATTTCTATATTATATTAGAAAGTAATACAAAAAGTTTGGTAGTAATTTAAAATCTGGGTAAAAATTATTTCAAATAACTATATTTTTAAAAATGAAGATAATTGAAAACATTTTCATTTAAACTATAACATTGTATTGTTCAATATAATATTAACATTATCAGGGTTCCCATCAAAAATGAATTTTGAAATTCCCTGACTTTTCCAGGTTTTCCAGATGAGAATGAAGAATTTTCCCTGGCCAATATAAAATATTGATTGTCGGACCTGATGTAAATCAGATTTATTAAGGTTTTTAAAAAAAGAGGGGGACATTATGTGAATAGAAATAATTTAATTATGGCAAGGTCAAATAAGCGATGTGTTGGGTAATTGTGATTCGGATAATCAAGGTTCCATGTATGTAAATTTTAACGTTTAGAAACAGAAGTAGTAGGAAAATTAGCCTATATTACTAGACACAACGAAAATCTGAAAGACAAAGTATAATAAAATCTTGTATAAATTCAGGTAAATAAGTATTGAAAAAAAAGAATGCAATTATAACAAAAAAGGTAATCAAATAAAAAGTGAATAAAATATAAATTTTAATCATTTTATTATAAATTTTAATTATTTTATAAATCACTACATTTGATAAAATATACATTTAATTGTAACAAAGTCAATTAAATTTAAGTTTCGTATTAAACTATATGGAACAAAAAACAATATTCCGAGAAATTTCTAATTTATACATTAAAAAAAAGAACGATTAAGTAAATATACCAATGCTAGGACACGTACCTATGTCTGGACACCTTTAACATTATCCTTCAAGAATTTTTAATTGCAATGAGTTAGCTTTTCTACTTTGTCCAAAGATTGATACATTTATCTTACTCTTTTATTAATAAAAAATGATGACAGATACATACATAGACCTTAGATATAATGTTTAAAATATTATAACAATTATTTGGAATAAAACCATTTTAAGAGAATTACGAGCAAAGTTCAAAATTCCAGATTCTTTTATATTTTCTTTGACATTTCCCGATTTTCCTGATAAATTTTAAATTCCCTGACTTTTCCCAGTTTGCCACACCCATGGGAACCCTGATTATTGAATTGTTCTATATGTATGATTATATAAAAATATTATGAATATATAGATATTGAAAGATATGTTTGATACATAATATATTTTTTATAAGAAACGCTTTTACATGTTATTTAACCCAACTCTGTATATGTTATACAATACTCATTTTTATATAAATTTTCAATTTAAATAAGTAAATAAAAAAAGCACTCTCAATATTAAAATAATACAATTGTGTGACATCAAAGTAAATAGGAGTCCACGAATAAGATTAAATAAACGTAAAGATTAAATAAGATAAGATTAAATAAACAAAACTAAAAAGTGTGTATCAAATGATAAAAAGTAACTGTGTTAATAAACTAAGACTTGTTTCCTCTGCTTCAAGTATTTCATCCAACATTACCATTTTTCAACGATATTATATATTTTCAGTGTTTTCCATTATCCGTTATATTTCATCATACAAAATTTTTTTACATAACGTATTTTTGTATTGTATTCTTTACATCTGAAGAGGGCTCGAATTTGTAGCCGAAATATGTAATGTAATTTTATTAAATATTGTGTTACTTTATTAACAGTTATTTTTTATCATTTGATACACACTTTTTAGTTTTATAACGTTTACTTAATCTTATTCGTGGACTCCTATTTGCCTTGATGTCACAAAATTGTATTATTTTCAATTTAAATCATTTTGTATAAAAACTATACACCTTTGTATCCTTAAATACACTCTACTTTTTAACAATTTTGTAAATTTTATTCTCTATAATAATTTTAAAATATAATAAATTTAAGTCCTATTTTATCGCTTACATATCTATTTCATTGTTTAACTTAACTATGCATACTAACATAATTATCAAAAGTTGTAGTGCATTATTGCTATAGAAAATATTTTAATAGATTTAATGACTTTTCATTTATATAATAATCGAAAAACATCTTAATCTCGAAGTAATTATTTATGAGCCACGTGCAACGCGGGAATTTAAGAATGCCTACCGCCATCTTACATGCAAAGGCACCATTTTGTATTTACTTAACCGGCGTAGAAGTGAATTCATGATTCATATCCTTTACAGATTGCTCATTTTTAGTTTCAATGCTAATGTGATATCGTAGGCAGATACAAATGCATAAATACCGGAAAATTGCTCCGTTTTTAGTAGAAGTAAACTTACGATGAGAGAAGATTTCAATCTCAACGCTTCTACTAAAAACGGAGCAATTTTCCCGGCAACAAGATTGTGTACACTGTACGATTTGGAGTTTAGACGCTCATGCACTACAACAAAGAATTTCGAATGATTCATTTTCTTATGTATTATGCGTTATGCAAAGGAACTGGCTTCAAGTTTCCTTCTTATTTTATTGCATCATCTCATTACATGCAGAAGATAGATTGAAAAAATTTGATTGTACAGCCATCAAATCAGAACGCAGCCAGAACGCGTGAAATCATGAGGAGCAAACGGGGAAAATAGATTCGTAGCATGGGCACTCTCTCGTCGTACCAGAGAAACGCCGCAAGACTGAAAACAGAGCGATCCTCCCGGAAGCTATTTTAATCCCACGTGGGAAGCGAATAGCGTCGAGGGAAAAAAAAAAAAATCTTGGAGCGCGGTCTTCTCTTAAATATCAGAAACGCGCCAACAGCGGCGCGCCGGAAATTTCGTAATTTACGATCGCGAAAGAGAGATAGATCGAGGAATGGGACAGGCGCGTATGGTTCGAATCAAAAGCAAATTACGCCGTACCTTGCCAAAACGTAATGGCGTCGTCCCGGCGGACACGATGTTGCCCGAACAAGAGGCAATTTCTCGGTATGTAGGGAGATTTCGCAAAATTTAGAAGAAGGAAAAGAAATTACCGCTTCATTGTTCCTGCCACCGCCGCCGATACCTCCACGGCCACCCGAAAAACGAGTACCGCCTTTTCGGCCACGGCCTCCGCGGTTACCGCCGCCACCGCTGCCGCCGCCTCCGCCGCTGCCTCCGCCGCCGCCTCCGCCGCCGCCGCCGCCACCGGCTTGGTTTCGCTCACGCATATTCTCGCTGTTGTTTTCGACGGGAGCGTTCCCTGTCTCCGATTTCACGTTCGGAGTCTCTGTTCCGGCCATCGAAGCTTCGTATCTCGTGATGCCGTAAGCGAAAGACCTCCTACTCCTCTCTCGACAGTCTTAACTACTTCACCTTCACCACGCGTTCCCTCGAGCCAACTGCACACTATGGCGTCCAACGACGAGAAGAGAGGCTGTCGCGAGGAATCCTGGCAATTAAATATGGCATTTCCCCTTCTTCGCTGGTTACGGCGCAGTGCATTATGGGGGATGCAACGAGATTGGATGGTTGGACGTTGCTGTGACGCGCAGTAATTGAACTAGCAGGTTTGCCAGTAGTGCCAACTTCTCCGACAGGAAGCAGTAAGGTGCCTTTACATGAGAGAGTCAGAGCATACGCAACGCAGTGACATATCAAACAATTTTACTGAAAGCTGCATAAACGCATGCATAAAGAAAATTATCCAATCGCATTTCCCTTATAAAGATGCATGTAAAATGTGATTGGATAATTTTCTTTATGCATACGTTTAGGCGGTTATGCAAGTTTGTGAGGATATATAGCTATACAATTTACACTGCTGATAAAGGAATTTTGTAGATTACATTATATAACGTAAACAAATATAAATTTTAAGTTTTAGGATAGTAGCGTATATTAAGCTAAGACTCCATGTATGCGGTGACCAATCAGGAACAAGGCTTGATAGAGGGTCGTCTGTATTGCCGACTAGGAATTTTATGCAATTTCTCGTTCATATTCCCCACGCGATTACATGATCATGTTATAATAAAAATAATATGAAAAAAATAGAAGATTACATATGTGTATATAGTATATATACATATATATATAGTAAAATGCAACACTACATATACATATATATATAGTGTCGCATTTTAATTGCTTCAGGCAATATTTTGAAAAATATGTAAAATATAAAAAAAATATTATAAATAAAAGTGGAATTGTTTTAAAGAAGATGTATTTTGATAAAGATAAAAGAATTATCTTTTCAATTTTTCTTAATGAATTAAATTGTATAATTTTACTTTTAATTAATTTACTTTTAATTAATTTTTTACTTTAATTAATTTACTTTTAATTAATTAATATAATTTTTCTAGTTATTTTGCATATAAAAGTATTAATATATAGCGAGATATGTAAATTGAAATAATTTTATGAAATCCATATTTTATACAATATATCTACTTTATTCTAAGATATATTGATAAGAAATATTGAATATTCCATAAACAATAAATTTTTTTATAATATTACCTCAATACTTTTATGAACAGACTATAAGATGAATCACTTAGTAAGAGTATAATAAGTAAAGATAAAATATAGTTGCTTATTTAAAAAATTGTTGTTCACATATTTATGAACAGAATGATAAGACGAATCAACAACTGATATAAAGAATAAAAATATATAAAAAATATGTTCTGTAAAGTACCTATATATTTTTTCAATACATATAATTATATATATAATACTTTGTACTAATTGATTTATCTTATTTATAAAAGTATTGAAGTACAATTATATCAAAGAATTAAAACTTTGCAAAATACTTAATTTATTTTATCTCTCTCTCTCTCTCTCTCTCTCTCTCTCTCTCTCTCTCTCTCTCTCTCTCTCTCTCTCTCTCTCTCTCTCTCTCTCTCTCTCTCTCTCTCTCTCTCTCTCTCTCTCTCTCTCTCTCTCTCTCTCTCTCTCTCTCTCTCTCTCTCTCTCTCTCTCTCTCTCTCTCTCTCTCTCTCTCTCTCTCTCTCTCTCTCTCTCTCTCTCTCTCTCTCTCTCTCTCTCTCTCTCTCTCTCTCTCTCTCTCTCTCTCTCTCTCTCTCTCTCTCTCTCTCTCTTTCAATATGTGCTAGAATAATTAGTACAAAATATCTCGTACATTATTGATTTTTGATTCTTTACTTTAATTTTTTTATATACACAGAGGAATTATATTATGGAAAAAATTCATATAATTTTATTTTATTGTGCTATAAAGTAAAACCTGTATTTTTTAATTCGAAATATTTATATTTTACTTTTGCATGCATAAATCAGTGTACAATAACTTTAATATACACTAATGCATCCAACTAAATTCATTATTAAAAATATCTTGAAAAAAAATTTAATAAAGAATTTAAAAAAAATGCTCTAGACAAAAGTTATGTCGTATAAAGAGGAACAAATAATGGTGAAAACAATTTTCAAAAATATTGAATTTTTTTAAAATTGCAAAAAAATCATCACTATTTTTTAAAAATAAAACTATATAATTCTTCTTCAATATGATAGTATATTTTTCTAATTGTTCTGTATATAAAAATATCAAAATAAAGATATTGGAAAATCAAAAGTTTAAGAGGTATTACTATATATATTATATTTGTACTTTATTTTGGTGTGCACATTTTGTTTTGGGATGTGAAATATAAAATATTTCGATCTCAAACTATTAATTTTTTGATAATTATATACCGTAATATTTTTATGCGTGAAATAATGTAAAATGAATTAATTGGTGTAAAGAAAACACATATATAGTTGCTTTCAAAAAAGATGTGTATATAGTTGCATATTACAAATTACATAACTTTTTATAAGCGCATACAAATTTCTTCATGACATGAAATATAAAATACCTCGTAAAACATTGATTTTTTATCTCTCTTTCTCTTTCTCTTTCTCTCAAATCGGTCCTTCCTGACTTGAACATCGTAATCTCCATTTGATGCAACCACTTGGGAGAGTATGAATTGTCTCCATTGGTTTCTGTCAGTGGTTATCCTCATTGTGCTGGAAAAGTTATTTTCTTTTCGTTGGTCTGTCCATCTGGAGTCCATGGGGCTCAGCCTCGTACTCTTTTTCCTTCGACATTACTTAATATATAATAATTATCAATTTTTCAAGACTGCCGTCTGGTTATGTGGTCAAAGTGGGATAGTATGCGTTTGTGGCTAACAGTGGATAGTCGATCTTTTATTTCAAGCTCTGAAAGGATGAACACGTCATTGATACGTCTCGCGGTCCATGGAATTCACAGCATTCGCCCCCAACACATTTCAAACGCGTCGATTAATTGTCTGTCACTCTCTTGCTCAGACGGTCTAAGTCTCCACTTTGTAGAAAAATATAATGGAAGAGATCAAGGTTCGAACAATGCGGATTTTTGTCCTGCCAGAAACTCCCTAATCCCTTCAGATGTTCTCAATCTATAATCATCGCGTTTTTTGCCCAAAGCGATTCTTTGCTTAATCTCAGGGACGCTACATTCATTTCTGCATATTATCTACATCAGATATAAATGAAATTGTCTACAATGTCTATATCTTGGATGGTGTTGGAATTCAAGAGTTTTCCTATTTATTTCACAATTTTTTGATAATTCTGCCTTTTTGTAATCTTGATTGAATAATTGATTTTTCCGAAAATTTACAAAAATTTTATCATCATTATTATTCCTTCTTGGGATGACACAATTTTTTTCTGGAATGTTTACTTAAATATTTTATTCTGCATATATAGGTTATCTCCTAAAAATATATTAAAAAATTTACTTTTTTACATTTCCCACAAATTCAAGATGAAAACTTCATGACTATGTGTCCGAAACGACTTAGTTTTAAAGATATATGGTGTCAAAGTTGAAAAAAAGTACCGTTTTTTCCTAAAAATTTCGAAAAACCATTCGAGATACTTTGGTGAAACTTTATAGGTTTCTTTAATATAATATTTTAGATAGAATAAATTATTTCCGAGAAAATAAAATAAATTTAAATTCACTGTACATTGCAAAATTGTTTTGTTTGATAAAAAGTTAATGATCTTGGAAACAGCATATTCTATCGAAAATATTAAAGAGGTCTTTTCTGTTGCAGATTTATTTCATTTATTATGAAAAATCTCAAACATGAACAAATTCAGTAGCTTTTCAATTTTTTTTATATTTGTTCATATCAGTGTATGTATAGTATAATATATAATAGGACAAAAATTAAATGTAATTAATTTATGAAAGTAAAGTTTACCTAATTAAGAAAACATTTTTTTCAAAATATAATATGAACATTTTATAAAAAAGAAAAAGAAAATAATCTTCATTTCCTAAAATCTACTGGAATATTACATCAAAAAGAATATTATGTATATCAAATTTTAATAAATATTTATTTGTGATTAATATTAATATGTCTATATTTACTAAATATAAACATATTTATTTGATATAATAACCTTTAATTTGTATGATTCTCTCAATTATTATTTTTTATCAATTAATGTTTATTTATTGCAAGTAAATATTCAGTTAGTCATAATTTAAACAAATATTTATTATAATTTAGTAAATTCTTTTAGTGTATTATGGTGTTAACTTTATTGATAAATGCATACATCGACTATACAGCAAATTATAGTACAGTAAGTGAATACATTTACTGAATTAACATTTTGATTGTGACATATACATACCTTATAAAAATTATTATTAATTATTTACTCGAAATCAATTCGATATAACATAGAAGAATAAAAAATTATCGCTCGTAATACCGTACTACGGAAAATTATATGTGTAAAAACTAATTTACTATAAACTTTGGTAGCTTCGGAAGCTTGAGCTCGGAAGTTTATCGCAAGTTTAAGAACTTACGGCATATACATCAATCAACGTAGGACGTGGGTGGTGTCCAGCGTGAACTTCGATAAGTATGCTGATACGCGTTGCTCGGAGTCGTCGCTATCAGTCGACGATAGGTGTGACCTAATGTTTCCGACCCGTCACCTAAATCACTGGAGCTCGAGCTGCAAGTTCGGCCGTGAACGGAAGCGCGATCAGATCTCACAATCTGTGCAGAAAAGCACGCGCGGGCTAAGCGTTATAATAAATTCTCGGGCGGTCGTCGGGCGATTCGTATCGCGATTCAAGTGGCGAATTAGGGTCGCAGCCTGGACGATCTAGGACGATCGGTAACAATACCGTGTTCATCAGCTAATTGTTAGGCCCGATGCGCTCTTGCGAGGATTATGTAATTTTGCCATGACACACACGTGACAATCAAAGACGACTTTCTGAAGAAAAGTAGATTGTTAGTCCCAGCCTCATTTTCCGCCAAGATTTGGGAAACTATCGGTATATAACATCATATAAAGCGCAATAAAATCTACTTTGCAGCAAAAGTAGACTCCGCACGTAGGAGTCTACTTTCAGGAGGCCCGTAAATAAAAGTGGAGACAGACGAGATCGATAGACTACCAACAATAAGACTGTGTAATGGTATTTTTCCAAGCAGAACAACAAGTCACAATAACGTACAAATAACATTAAAAGAATCGTGACTGATCGAAAAATGGTTTTTAATAGTCATTTGGAGCCATTTAATAGTTATTTTGGAGCTCTTTGGATGCGATTTTGTTGTCATAATGATTTTTTGCTCCGCTTGTGTTTCTATTTTAATTTTAAATTATGATTGACGAAAACGAGTATTCTAATCATCCCAACGACTCACAAAATCCTTTAAAAACTGATTTTACAACCCTGAATAGCTTTTATATTTTCTTGTTAAATTAAAAACATTAAAAAAGTCTATTCTAACTTTGATAATTCTTGTATCATGGATTACCTCTTAATTTATGCAAATTCGATCGTCAACTATATATTGAACTTCCGTCCGTCAAACGATTTTAAAAAGCCTTAAAACATCTATCCATACGCTGTGATGCGAGAAAGTTAAAACTCCATGATTAAAAAATTGGCTTCATTACAGAATGTAATTAAAAGGTAATAATATATAGAACATAAAAAGAGGGAAGAGGTAGAATGCCCGTTAAAGTCTTGCTGGCGCGCGTCATGTACATAGTGTCCCAGATCTATCGGGTAATATTTTGAAGACTTTCCATTCGTTTGAAGAAACCTCTTTTTAAAATGGTTACAAAAATATCGACCTTTTTTGACAATGTGCTACAAGAGATTGAGAAAATAAACTCACTTTTTATGAAAACATAATTAAATGAAATTTAATTCGCTTAATGTATTTAATTTGGAACAATATTTTTAATTCAATGTTTTTTAAGCTTTTCATTCTGAATGAATTTTTAACATTTTAAATTAATCTCGCTACTTAATTGTTTCCCTTAAAATATTTAAATATTTTTAGAATTTTTATGTAAAGGTTTGAGATGATTTTTCTCGAATTATCCCTAAAACGCGACGTTTCAAACGAATATAACGATAATACACAATCACGTAACTCTATTGGATTTTACTTTCCTGTAAAAGCGAGTAAACGTATTTTCTGATAAAAATGTGGGAGCCGTTCTCGAGAAATTATATCTCGTCTCGAGAAATTGACATCAGTGTGTCAATGAGTTTCGATCGCTGCTAAAACATCACACGGTGGCTTCGGGACATCTCGTAGAAGAAGCAAGGCGGGACAGGCAGAAGCGTAAACAAGGAGAATGCATCGCGGGGGTGGCACGACGGGGTACGAGGGCGAGGGGTTGTACCCGTCGCTCATGCGCGCCTGGAACCCCGCCCTGTCGCTTCGGACCACGGCCTGTCCTGTCGAGGACTCCTCGCCGAGGTGGTCGAATAGTCACGCTTTAACCCGCGATCCGCGAGGCGGACGGCATTCGCCAGGAACGCCGCTGGTGCTCGTACGCGTGAGGAGGAGGCGGAGGAGGAGGAGGAGGGAACATCTGTCCTGGTCCCCCGGTCCGTCGCACCTTCATCGCGACATCGTTCTCCTTCTAAGATCGTAGGATCTACAAGATCATTGTGATCCAATCGTGGCGGCCGGTGTATGTGTGTGTGTGTATGTGTGCGTGTTCCATGTATCCAGGAAGGATCGACGGCGGCGGATCGATTATATTGGTACCACGACGGGGAGTAGCACGGGAATTTCGGGATCGCGGCACAACCGATGTCGATGCCAAGAATTCGGCAACCAGTTGCGGATATGAGCTGGTGTTAAGGGAGGCCCGTTTAGTGTTACCGCGAATGATCCTTCGGCGCAGGGGAGCCAGGTAGGACGACAGGTAGATCGCGTCAAGACGTTATCAGGTTTCATCGGCGGAGGCTCGCACGGATTTTGAATTTCCAACAGTATACGCCAAGTATTTTATTCTTCCCGTAGAGACAGACACCTCGGTGGATCGATCTGAAGCGCGTGGCAAATCGTCAAGTGTCTCGACCGCTGTTGATTGCGAATGCCTGCAGGCGTTAGTAATAATGCAACGGCCAACATCCGGAACACGAAAAGCGCCTTTTTTTAATCAAGAAAATGTTGATAATTGTGGCTTCCTTTAGCATAATTTACGATCAGTCTTAAAGCTGGTGAACCACAAGGTAGAGGATATAGAAACAATTGTGTCACGTCGATCTGCTTGTCATATAAGTTTAACATACGCGATATCGAATTCCTTTGACTCGATATCCGTCGTTCAAATATCACAACGTGCGCCTTACCGTTATAATAAAAAAAATATTTAAAAAAAATCCGAAAACGAACGACAGGCCTAACTTGGGATCAACAGATTAACAATTTCCAAAGTAGCACGCGACTTTTCTAACGTGTGTGTGAGGATCACCAGCCTTCTCGAAGATTTTTCATATATGTGCGCGGGGTTGCCACGCGCGCGCATTATCGAAATGCACGATTTCCTGCAAAACGGCAGCGGCTGAAAGGTCGTGATCGATCGACTCAATTTGATAACCCAAAGGAACCTTAAAGTGTGCAAGGTCGTTATGTATAGTGATAAAGCAGGGACTTTCCACGGTTAAAAAGTCAAGGGGGTGAGCCAAGGAGACGTGCCGTACTACTACGTGGCCTATCGTCTACACACACGATGCCGAGATTTACAAGTACTCACTCGAGCAACTTGAGAAGATGCTGACGCGGCGGTAATCAAATTCATTGAATCCTGTTCGCGTAATGCCGAGCCAAGGCCATCGCGAGAAGGCGTGCTTAGAACTTTGCGAGGCGCGCAGCATCGATTGCAAGATCGTCACGATGCCCCTCGAGATTTCGAGAAGAGATCCGCGACGATAGAGCGTGCATTAGTGAAACAACAATAACACACGGGATCCGTCGATCGAGACGTAAACGTAAACTGCACCTTCGCTGCAAATTGTATCCTATTTTTTTGTATCGAGCAACTCATATCGTTCGATGAAATCCCCATCGGTCTACACTAGTTACCTGACGATTATACATCGAATTTCAAACGCGAACGAGTTAGGAAACGGCCTCGCTCAATGCTTCCTAGCGAGAAACGGAATCGCAATCAAGTACACTTGATCCCTGCTACTCTGCCGGACAATTCGTCCACGAGGAAACCAATGATCGATGCATGTCTGCAGCTCGACAGTTGATCCCGGAGGATCAAGACCCCCTTTCCCCCTATAAACCACGTCAAAGGAACGAAGCGATGATCGGTCTGTAGATCGGCGCGCTCGATGAATCGTCGTAGAATCGAGCATCGAGCAACAGCCATCACCACCCGAGGAAGAAGAAGAAGAAGAAGAAGAAGAAGAAGAAGAAGTCGTAGAAGGAGCTTAGCCGCGTAGCGTCGTCTCGATCTCGAGAGAGAGAGAGAGAGCCGTCCCGGGTGATGCGCGGAAGCAGCTCCGAACTCCTGCTGGAGGCGAGCTGCAGCCAGTGCCAGAGCGATTACGATCGGGGACATCAAGGTCGGGGCAGCGGCGGCGAGCACGACTTCCACGAGCGGGAGCTACGTCGTCGCAAGCTGTTGGAGCTCGGGTTCGGCGCGTCGCGGCGCCGACCGCCACGGCGTACCTGCCGTCAGCGGTTTAATTTTTACGCGACATCGGCGCTGGCCTTCGTCGCCACCTCAGGCGGCGCGGCACTCCTTTTCCTGGTACCGCTTTACGTCGACCCAGCCATCAGCACTCTAGCGGCGGACTTCTCGCCGGAGCCGGTGATCTGCACGACCTCGCGGCGCGAGGACCTTGCTGGTCTCTTCAACTGCACATGGAGCTCGTGCCGCGAGGGATGCACCAGTGATGTGTACAGTTGCACCCACATATATGTCACGTACACGCCGTGGAGTAACGTCAGTATGAAGAACGACACCGGCGGCAGGAACATCACCGCGAACACCACGGCTGATTTCAGCACCGTCACTGCCGGTAGGATCGCAGTTGTTCTTTAGCATTTTTCCACTCTTTTTTTCGTATATATCTTTCGTGTATGACCAATGTAATTGAGAATGATAAAATGAAATTAGACGTTTAATTGGATTGACAAAAAAAAAAAAAAAAAAGAGCTGAAGTAGCAGAGAAAGAGGCAGGAAATTTAAAACATGAAGTAGAAAAATCTGAAATACCATACTATATGATTTTTGTTTCGAAACATAACATTGTTGAACGTGAGATAGTCTATACGATTTATGTCACCGACCTGAACGTAAAATTCGAGACATATAACGGATGGAATCTATTGTGTAAAGTTCGAAAGGAGATAATGGGTATCGTTACCTCTTTCTCTATTGCTATTTGACTATAAAATAGAATGTATCGCCTGGGAAATCGAAGTGAAATTGGAATACATTTCAATTTGGTAGATCAACGTTGCGGATTGCATGCGTGCTTAGCAAGCACAAAAATTCAAATCTCCCCGATGCTAATCTTCGCTGTAAAATATCTCTTTGTCGAGCAGTGTCCTCTCCGGGGGACGTCGAGGCGGTGCTGCTGGTGAACATCAAGGGTTGCGGATATCCGCCGGTAGTCGATTGCAAAAACTTCACCCGCGAGTTGGGTTACGAAGGCGCGAAGTTTCCTTGCCATTATAGCCGGGTGAACGGTAGCATAGTGTTGGCGAACTATAATCGCGAGGCACAGGTCGCTACCATCATGCACTTCTTCGCGGCGCCTTTCGTAGTGACTCTCGCGACCAGCGTCGCGCTGTGTGTGATGCACTGTGACTGCAGATGCACGCCGCCACCGCGACATCCGCCGCGCGGTATGAGAAGATCCAGGGGCAACGACCTCAGGTAATTAGTTTCCACCAAAGTATAAAGCCAGAAACACACACACACGTTCGATATATACTTGGACAATTTTCTTTCGACGGACGTACGGATTATCATTAGCTTAGCTATGAATCATATATCCATAAGTCCGGATCTACAATAGATGTTTTAAGCCTGATGAAATTGGCCAATTACAGTCAAATGCGAGGAGAATAATAATCGACTGTAATTCGTCCATTTCTTATGGCATATAAGGCTTAAAAATCCATTGTAGATTCGGGCTAATACACACGTTTTGTGCTGAATGAGTTAAAAGTTTTGCCCTTGTTAGTTGAATGGAACGTATATAGAATAGAGTAGAGTAGAGTAGAATTGTCACATGGAATAAAAGTGTTTTGTTATTGTAAATAATTGTTCAAACGTCCTAACAAACACGTCGAAAATCCGCGCGCTGATATTAATGGAGTTAACAAAATATGGACTCATATTAATGACAAGTCACACACGAAGCTGATAAATTGGTGTTAATTATTGTAATATTACAGCTGCTGCATGAGTATAAAAAATCGATAACGAGTTAGAAGTGTGCCAGAAGTCGTCCGATTTAGAAGGTGTATTTGACGAGGCAAATAAACTTTCTAAACTGTACATAAGACAAAGACGACTTGGCAATGATGTTACTACCACCGTACTTACTGTCGTCGTGAAACGATGCTAAACTCTTTCGGCTGCAAATACTGCCTTAGAAGGTATCTCAAAGATCATTTTTCAAAGATTGATTGGTGTAATCTTCGTGTTCCGTTGTGCATAAATATTTATTTATATGATCGTGTTATCAAACTCTCTCTCTCTCTCTCTCTCTCTCTCTCTCTCTCTCTCTCTCTCTCTCATCTCTCTCTCTCTCTCTCTCTCTCTCTCTCTCTCTCTCGTTAAACAATCTTTTCTTCATTCTATTTATGTACTCAAGAAATTGGTAAAAATAACTTATTTTTATTCGCGCTATATAATATCAAAAATTTTACGAAAATGTAATCGTAGTCATCTACTACACGTCGACCGTTTTCATATTAGAATTTGCAATATATTCAAAATTAGATTCCAATTAATACACAGAAGAGTTTTTCTTTCGAAATTATTTTGTGAAAATTAATATTCGGTTATGTTGTTGAAACGCGAAAGCAAAGATTACGATCAACGAGCTGTTTGTATAACAATTAGAACAATTGTTCCATCGATTAAATTTTTAAAACCGCTTTGACGCTTCTTCGCTTTCGCAATCATCGTTTAATCTAGATATTTATATTGACTTACGTTGCTGACGTTTTCCGAGAAAGCTTGTTACTGCATGCAATTTATAGTACTTCACTGTAAAGTGATATAGACCAACGTTTCTTCTGACTCACTATAATTTACATGTAAATCGCTTTGCCGCAAATACCAGCGCTTTTTGATACACGACGGAACACGGAGCGCTGCTTTAGGAATAGAAATACACATTTATCATATTATTACAGAAAAGAGCGAATCGCAGAAACGGAAATCGGATATCGATTCATCATCTCTCTCTCGTAATCTCCGCTAATTAGCTCCAAAAGGCGCATTCATCTCATTAAACGAGTGTGCGCTGCCAAAAGCCGTGACGGCGCTCTCCGTGCAACGCAATGAACATGTAAAAAGAGATCTCTAATTGTCGATCGGATGCCGTAAGTAATTCCGTGCACTCGGAGTAATCGACAGCTCTCTCTCTTTCACGAACATTGATATGTTGCGTGAACAAGCATTGAGCGGCGCGTAACTCGTGTAACTCGCGTGTAATCTGCCAATTCTTTCGAAATGTCTTTTCTCCTCTCCCCTTAATTTTTCTTCTTAATGAAGTCGTTGAGCGAAACGAGTCTTGTGTATTATGTAAGTCACATTTTTCTCATTAAAATAAGAGGTTTTATAAAAGTGCCTCGTATAAAATCCTGTTAATGTATTATAGCAATTTTTCTAGATGAACAGGACTGCCTAAAGCACTTGAATAGAATATCTCAATAAAGCCACTTGAAATAAAAATATTAAAAATTCAGAATCACGTCGGAATTATTATATCGACTGTTATACTGCCTAAAATATACGACTTACAATTATTCAATTATTGAATCTGTCGATCACTATTTCGCTCAACTGCTGAATTTTCGCTATCGCATGTTCCTCGCACAGATCAATGCTATGTTAAGAGAAATAAAAGGGACCAGACTGTTGTACCAAAATAAAAAAAATCACATGTCATCAAGAAACTAATGTAATGGCAGCCCGCACATGGCAAGCAAGAACAAAAAGAATTATATGTATTGTATAATCTCTAAATGTATCCTCATCTCTCATGCGTACTTCGTACACACCGAAGAATCGCTGGAAATGGACTTATCGAGTTTTGCGCTACGACTCTACGAGGGTAAGATATTAAATCCACGTTCGAGTAACACGGCAAATGCAAGAAGTTGATGTGCGATTGAAACCAAAAGTCATGGCGTGTTTCTGCTATGAAAGTATCGCGATTCAATGAGACGCGTCTCGAAGGCTCATTCCCTTTCCAAAAGCTACCTTGTTATCTTTCTACTTTCGACCGTTTGTCATTTCCATGACGATGGTATTAGAAGACGGAGGATCGGGGGTGGCAAGGATGACAGTTAGCAAATGGCAGCCTCGGCTGTCATACATCAAATTTGGAATAACCGGCGACCCTGGCCGTGTTCTCTCTTTCTTCTATTATATTTCTCTCTATCTCTCTCTCTGTTTTTTTTTTATTTTTCTTTCTCTCTCTCTCTCTCTCTCTCTCTTCGCTTCCCCTCTTTTTATATCTCTTCTTTTTCACTTTTCTTCGTAAAGTTGTTTGCTACTGAACGTATCGTGTACATTTCCACCGTAAACGGTATTTTCGTTGTCAGGATTTTTCGCTTTTATCTCGCCAAGCCACGAGAGTTGTCGCACAAATCGTAGTAATCCGTAATATGTAATTATGTTTGCCCGGACACTGGATTTCGGGATTATCTTGGTAATCGCGTTCTATCTGAATAAAACTGGCGTGTATCATTTCTCTGCAGTTCATGCTTTTGTATTTTGACAACGACTCTCAGTGCAATTGTCACCGTCGATTCTCGTTAAGTTAGTACAAGTAAAAATAAGATCATCACGGAATTTATATAAAGATTATAAAAATAGAAAAGAGAAAAAGAGTATGAAATAAAATGTTGTGAAAAATAGTCAAGTCCGTATCTTATTCCTGCATCCCACGGGATATTTGTAGGACCAATCTAAAGTAATCTATTAAATCGACGAATTTGCATGTCACGCTGTTTGATCCCCGTTCAACGATACCTTCGAAATTTGTCGTGCGCGGCAGAGAAAAGACGCGATATACGATACCGCTGTCGTGTTACTGTTACTCGAGATCACGTTTCGTATCAAAGGAGAGTAAAGATGAAGTACGGCAAATTCTGTTATCGTATCCTTCCTCAGAATTTCCACGGGACAGACGGATAAACCGGCCGTGCTATGAAATACGAGAATTTCTTTTCAAATGCGAAAAATTCACTCAGATATAGTTCGTGCAGTGCTATCATCATGTTAACGATTACAGCAAACTTTTCGCTCTCGCTTTACCGTATATATAGGTATATATTATGCGAGATAAATGGACTCGTAATCGCGATAAGGAACACTTCCATTTCCCGTGGAAAGGAGTTGCTTCCGCGAAAAAAGGGAAAGAAGAAAAGGAAGAGCTCTCTCAAATTTATGTCGCGCAAAGTGTATCTTGCAAAATAATTGGTATATTTGGCAGTCCGTTTTTCTGAGAATCACAGCGAGCATCAGGCTTCTGGAAAGAGGGAGCAGTAGGTATACTTAAACGTACTCATTAACTTGCGACCACGGCGAGATGACATCGTATACATAAGCGGATGAAAGAGATGAAAAAAAAGGTCCTCTCAAACTTTTAATTGAAACAGCGCTCCGAAAGAGCCGTAGCTTCGTGTCAACACGCGAATAAGAGAATGTCCCGAAAACTCGTTTTACGGCGCGACTGAAGTCTCCGTGGCTATTAGCGCGAAAATGAATGAGATTTTAAACTGGCACATCGGAGGTAGCCTCTTTGAACACACTGAGGACGGTTAGTCGAGAAGAATGTCGCGCAAAAGTTAACGTCATTTGTATCTTTCTTTACTCAATGACATTTATGGCTATTCTCCTCCCCATAGCTGGATCTTGGCCAAAAACTTACAAAAGGATATACTTATATACCTTTGCTGACGGGTTAATTTATAAGTAACTTCCATTCATCCAACACTGCTTGAAAGATGCTTCAAAAGGTATTTTTACGTAAAACTGTTTAAAATTGCTATTTCTTATTTTTAAATACATTTTCATTACAGAAATTCAATTTAAAACTGGCAAATTTAATATTGAAAATTACTTGTTTTGAGTATTAAAAAGCACTGAATAGCAATACTTTTAATATCAAAATAAATAATTATAATCACTGTCTTTCAGTATTCATTTTTTGTAAGCACGAATGATTTATTCAACTAAATTCTAAAATGTTCGTGATGTAATGACAAAAGATATAATTGGTGTCAGAAATATATAAATAAAAATTTCTAAGAGAGAGTTTCAAAAGAAAATGAATCACTTTGACATATTTATTTTGAATTATATTTTGTGCGTATGGCTAAACACTTAACACGAAGTGATAATATTTTCCGTACATTTTACATGTAAATAGTACATTTAAAAAATAATGGATTAAAGCACATTGTATTACATTTCCCTCGTTCCGTAATACTTATAATTGGATCAACATTTATGCCAATTAGTCTGAAAAGTTGTAACTTCATTCTTATTCTGGTTATCCTATTAAACGCGTACTCAGGGTATAGAAAGAATAAACATTGGAATTTCCAATTATGGGCAAATTGCATGGCTTCTACCGGCGCGTGGTGGTTAATTTGACGTTTGAGCAATGCCGCCCCGGTATGTTTCGG